CCACAAAACTTACTAATGCTACATCTTGTAGCTCTTTAGAAATACTCCCTTCAGAAGTTGTCTGGGAATTAGCTAAATAACTAAAGCAACTGTATTGTATCTTTATTGGTCTAAAATTGATGCAGGTCAAAAACTATTAACCATAAAATATTATCAATCGTCTGGAGAGTGGGGAGTGACTGCAGCTGTCCCATTACTGTACATACGCCTGTTTTCATGATCGTGTTGCTCAGTTTTCTGTGGCAGTTTGAAAATCCAACTAGGGTTAGTCTTTGGCTCCTCTGAAAGAAGAAGTCTATGAAGGTCACAACACATTGCCAGAAATGCATTGCTCTGGTTTTCCATACTTCATGTGGGGTTTTTTTTGTTAAAGAGAGTCTCGTCCTGTGCCCTCCCTGCCCTTGATATGTGCTGTTTGGGTAACTTTCTGTCTGACATCATGCGACAGTTACTTTCTATAGAAGCAGTTCCCAGGCGGGGAAGAATATGAGCACCAGACACAAAATTTTCAGATCAGAGTAATGCCACGTGCACTTAAAATTAAGCTTGTGCTGAAGTAAGTTTTCTGGATTGTGTCCTAACTGCAGATTCCATTTATTTGTTGTAGCTTTTTTCCTGAGCAGCACTTCAGACACCTATGAACCCACTAAACCACAAGAGATTTGTAACTTATATGAGGTTGATATCATTGCTTGATGCGCACCATTGAGCCTGAGTGTAGAGAGAGCATTTCTAGGTCAATGTCCAAACTATGGGTGCATTTCTTAATGTGTTTTAATAAGATACATCTGCTTCTCAACTCCTCTATCAAAAAAACCCACTAGCCATTGTTTCCTGCTGTAATATTTATATGCAGTGAAGCTCACAAGCCCAGGTATCTTTGATAATACAGTACAGTTAAGCAGTTACAAAGTTAGAGTATATTTTTTTTTCCCCCCCCTGATTAGCCATTGAACTAAAATCCTCATCTGGATTTTAAACTGAGTTCTTCCTGAATTTCAAACCACTTAGTGCATTGTCAAGCTGTAATCAGACAAGATCTCTTTGTCCCCCCATCACATAAAATCCTTCAAACAGCCTGTTCTTTTGGGGAGATACAAGTACCTCGGACCCTACCTCTCCTGGGACTTATTTCAGGTCTGAACACAAGCCTGTAAGGCTCCAGGGTACACATAATGCAAAAGACATCACCTCCTGTAAGTGATGACAACTGTAAATGAGTTGTTTACCACTCCGTAAGGATGATTTCTCACTAGGATGTGGAGGGGATGGAGCAGTGCTGCCCAGGATTGAAATCAGAGCCAACTGCTCAGTTGACTGATCTTCTCTTTTCTGTTTGAGACTTCTGAAGTTTGACTCTGCCTTGCTATGTACCTTTTGTTACTTTATTCATAGTGGGTAGCATTTGTCAGTGATTTTTATTTTGCTTTATGCAACCAGTGATTACCTTATTATAACAGTGCTGCTGTATTGAGAGATTCTACCCCCTTCAAACTGTAGCTAAGACAAAGAAGTTATTGCACATAGTGAGTACCCAAACGATGCATAGAAGGAAATGTAGCAACATATGGATGTTAAAGCATTTCCTTTGGCCTCATTTTGCTCCTGGTAGAGGAGTTAGTTGGAAAGCATCCAGTTATACCCTGAACGCTACTTGACTGAGGATCGAAGTTCCCAGGGACTTGACACTAACAGAGTTGCTTTCTAACTTTTTTAATGAGGAAGAATTCCTTTTTCAGCTCTGGTGTAAACAAAAAACAGCTGCAGTGAACGCTCTGTAGGGTAATGGTTAGAGCAGGCGTCTGAGAATGAGGTGTGGCCCCATTAAGGTCAAGGGAGAAACTTCTATTATTGTCAGGATTTCACCCCCTTCTCTTGCCCTCTTCCCAATTCTTGTGCAAACTCTGCTGATGTAAAGTGGCCAGGTCCCAGATTTTCTGCACTTGGGAGCTTCTGTTTTTAAACTCAGGGCGGAAAGATACGAGTTGGTTTGCACAACACTTAGAGATTTTTTAAATTAAAATGATAGGTGTAAACAAACTATTGTCTTTTGTGATCTGCCTTTAGTTGCAGTTATCGTTTCAGTAGATTCCTTCAGCATCCACTTACATTTCTAGCACTGATTGGGATACTCTGCAGATAATTGTCTAGCAGGTGGCAAAGTCGGAACTAATCCATCAATTGCTTAAATTCCACCTAGTCCAAATAATCCTGTTAGTAGCTGTTTTGCCCTTTCAGCAGTCACTTTAATTAATATTCAGGCTTGCGCAGGCAGTCAGGTTTCTGCCCTGCTGAAGCAGGACTTGATTGTTTTAATTTTAAATTAGAATTAATTTCTATTTAATTCTCTAATGGTCTTTTTTGTCCCATGTCAAACACACAGAGCAACCTCTCAAAAACTTGCAATCAGTTCATCACTAGCTCTCTTTTCGGCTTTATCTGCTGCAACCATCTTGTCTAGTTTTGTCTCTTCCATTTGGAATATGCTGGTACTTCAAGGACGTGTGTGTAAGTAACTTCTGAAATGGATGGGACTCTCCATAAGAAATTGATTCCCATGTATCTGATTGCAGCATTAAGTTGTGAGCAACAATGTTTTTGTGCTGGAGAAGACACTTTGACATATATTGTAAGCAGGGACATATTTGCCGTGTCATGAAATTAATTTAGAAAGCTAATTCAAAATGCAGGACTTCATGTGAAAACTTCTGAATGAAAAGGTTTTCACCCAGTTCTTCAAGAGGATTTTTTTTCATTTTGTTGCAGAGGAGCATGAAACAAAGTGAATACGGATTTTCTACGTTCAGTGAAGTATCTGCTCAAGTTGAAGAAATCAAGTTGCTCTACTTGATTTCTTCTTGTTTTGGCAGCTTTCTGCTCCCTCAGGCTGGAACAACTCTGTTCTGTTGGTTTTAGTGGCAGAAACTCAGGGAACAAAAATCTGGAATTATCACCTCAAACTGTTTTTCAGATTAAAAAAAAATGAAACCCAAGTTTTCCACTTTGCTTTGAAAGTTCACAGTACTACAATGTTTGCTAAAGGTAGCTTCTAGAGAGATGTTGTTTCTGTCAAGGTTAAATAACTTTTGACTGACTTAACAGGAAAGCAGGAGGCTTTGAGACAGTATTGAGTTCTTCAGCAGTGATTTAGAAGCCTTTCTGAAGTATGATGTCTCAAAAGATGCTGTTTCTTTTAAGAAGATAAAATGTTAATCAAACAGATGAGTTGTGATACAAAGGCAAACCTTTATGGCTTGGGGTGGGTAGCTTTGATTCTGAACTTCTCTCGCCTTTGAATTCTTTTTGCCACAGCCCTACTAGTGTAAGGTAATGCAAGCATAATTGGTTTGACTGGCAGAATTCTGGGACAAGGAGCTGATGTCCAGTGCACATTTGTACCATGCCACAGTGGCCTGTGTATTGTCATAAATTTGTTTTTGTTTGTTTTATAACAAAGTATAGTACTAGAGCCTGTATTCATTGTTTCCTCTTCATTGAATACTTCCAGTCCTTTATTGCCTACCCCCATGGCACAGCTTTGCCCAATGAAGTGTTCATTGTAGGTTTTATTAGTATTAAGGCTGCATCAGTTGAGTCTTCTTGGCACACGGGGTCAAGCAGGCTGCGTTGTGAGTTAAAAGTTCAGCACGGTCAGCAGGCTTCTCACTCTCTATGTACAGCTAGAGAGAGTTGCTTGCTAAGAAGACTCAGTTGAAGTGTCCCTGCAAAGCACTGGGTGGATGCTTGCCATGAATCTGCATCAGCTGATATTTCTTTAAAATCCAGTTGTATTAAAAAAAAAAAAAAATCACATAGCACTGCAGCAGCATGGGATGGGAAGAAACCATATGTTGTATCTGTAGATTTTGGTTTGTGAATAAACCTCGTGGAACTTTTGTATTTCTAATACTTTATTCTTAAAATATCTTCTTGCTTTCGCTGTGCTATACAACAGTGTTTTCACAGTCTGAGGGCATGTCTGCATTCTCAGGCTGTTCTCTGTTCTCCTGCCATCAGCGGCATGCTTCGCTGACCTGTGCACACTCATCTGAAACCTCAGCGTGACCCGGTCCCTATTTCTGCTGTAAGCATAGGCGCAGCTGGCTTTGTCAAGAGTGGAAGCCCCTGTTGCCTGGGGGCAACCCTCTACCTGAAAGAGATGTCAAGATGCAGAATAAATTTACTAGGAATTTTTTTTTGACAGGAAGCAATCTTTCTTTCCCCAAGTTCCTAAACTGTCTGGAAGGAGCAGATCTCTCTTATGGAAACTGTATGTGCTAACAGCCTCCACACCTCTTAGGTGAAGCCTAGAGAAATGTGTGATTTTTTTTTCGGTGTCAAGTCTCTAGACTATTTGATTTTTTTTTTCCCCCTAATGTATGCATTCCCCACATCAAAAAAATAACTGGGGGAGAGGAAAGAACACAAGGATCAGGACTAAAAGGCTGAAATTGCCCTGAAATGCCTTTTCCCGGGGCAAGTGCATACACTGATTACACAAACATGGGCTGAAATTAATCTCCTGAAGACTCTTCATCCTTCACATATCCAGGTAACCCTCAAATAAGCAGGCGTTACACCAAGACTTGCAGATGTGTTTGAGGAGGTAGCCTGTGACTTCATAGACATTTTTTCCTCCACCTAGAGTTCTTTTAATCTCTGCAGACCTCCCAGAACAGGGATCAAATTGTTCCCATTTCCAGGAGACAAAATTCAGAGATGCATTTAAACTCTGAATGCTGCCAACACGTGGGTAATTGAGGTGTAGCCGTGGGTGGTTCTCTCAGCAAACACCTGGTTCCTTTCAGTGTGAGCTTAGCTCTTGTAAATTTTACTCTCAAACTTCCTTTCCCCTTCCTTCTCACCTTCTTCCTTGCTATCCCTACCACATTAACACAATGTTAATTTCCTCATTTTCTTTGCAATTGCTGTTTTTCCCAGGATAGCATTAGACTGTGCTTAACTATTGTTTTTGTTGGGGGTGGGTTTTGTTTTGGCAGATGTTTATTGAACAAAACAAGATGAAAAGGCAAAGTCAGTTGCTTCTGCAAAATTCTGCTCCTGATCAACAGCTTTTGAAGGCTTTGGATGACAATGCTAAGCTAACCCACACATTAGAAGAAGAGAGGCTTCAACACCAACAAAAGGTAAAACAGGATTACATTTCATCTCATGCAGAAGTCTCTGAAAGCCTCCTGAATTTAAGGAGTGTCATGTATTTGTTATGTTCAGAATTATTTGAGATCTTGTCCTCCATAAGAGTTCACACTCTGAAAACTAAATGTAAGAGAAGATTGTGATTCCCTTCTTCTGGGTCACTGGTAAGACATGAGTACAAAACCTGAAGGTTTGTCAGCCTGAAGGCTGTGGTTTACGTAAGTATTTTATTCTGGATGCCAGTAAAGTGCCATTACAAGCATTAAGTCAAGTTCCATCAAGTGAAGAAGAGATGACAGGAGAATATTTTGGACGTTGAGTAATATAAAGGGTATGTTGGGGAGGATAAGCTAAGAAGACCAGGAGGTGAGAGGTAGGCAGTTCACATTAGTAGTCTGGTCACTTGCTAAAGAAATGCATGGGGAAGAGCCAGACATACTGGAGCAGGGAAATGTTAGGTGAATGCTGCAGAGTGGTGTGATAGGATCTAAAGTGCTAGGTTCTAAACAAATACATTCTTTGAAACTGGACTAGATCAATTTCTAACTGGGAGAAATCACCATTGCTTCACTTGAAAGCCTGAAAACGAGTTTTCCCTTAGCTGTGAGGCCTGTTCTTAAAACTCTGGTAAAAGAGTAATGCTAGGAATAGGTAGACAGTTCCTGTACTTTCATCAGTGCAGCAATACTAAGACTATATGTAATCTCACATGCTTCTGAATGAGTATTTTGGAAGAATAATTGCCAGTTCTTAGAAAACCTCTGCGTCTTTGGGTCCTTGAAGTCTAGAGCAAAACATACATATTTAGGGAGTTGGGAAGCGATTGCTACTCTGCAGCTGAATGCTGCCTCTAAACCTGATGTTCCATAATTCACCCACTGGCATCTGCATGAGTTGAGACAAGGGAGTTTAAATAACCAACCTGTCAGTGGAAGCAGTCAGTAAGAGAACAAAAATGTCAATGTTCGCGTGCTTCAAATGAAGAAACGTTCTGAAATTCATTTCTAATTATGTGATAGAAACTCTATAAAAAGAAAAAGGGAACATCTTATAGCTTAATTACTTTGAAGCTAAAGACATATTCTAAAGGAGAGATGAAACAAGTTAGGATCATAATAGAAAATTCTGACATCTCTCAGAAAAATCTGTCCAGCTCTTATTCAAAAATTGTCTTCTTTCTGGGACTTGTAGTTCACTCCTATGCTATAACATCATGTTTTCAGGAATAACTGTGCCTACTGGGTTATTTGTCAAAAGGAAGAACAGAAAATACCTTTTATTGTAATGAATGCTATTGTTTGCCAACTGCAGATCAAAGAATTGGAAGAGCAGCTAGAGAATCAAGCACTGCATAAGGAGATTAGTCGTCTTAAACAGCAACTAGAACTTTTGGAAGAAGATAAAAAGGAACTAGAGCTTAAGTGTCAGAGCTCAGAAGAAAAAGCTAGAGACCTAAAGCATTCAGGTAAAATAATGTAATAACTTTCATGTTAGAGGTACAGCTGGGGGGGTGTGAGTGGTGCACGTCTGATAGAATCATGCATGTTATGTTTGAGACCCCAGAAGCAACAGCTTTTGTGTAGCTGAGATCCAGACCTGTGCTTCACAAGACAAAGTACAGCAACTGCCTTCAACCACAGAACAGTCGTGTCCAGAATGCGTGTGAAAGAATAACCTTGTAAAACTTTTGTAAGGTATAAAAATACTGTTGTTAGATTGCCCTGAGTCTTACGGGTGGATATATACATGTGAATGGGTTTCTATGTGAAAGACACAATCCTTTGTATTCAGGCAAAATGTATCCTCTTACCTAGTTTTAAAAATAAATAAAATGGGATAACTCTGCTCTTTTTTTTTTTTTTTTGCAAAGATGCACAGTGATTTATCAGACTGTGGACTCTACATTGCATGAATTGTACAAAAACATTCCATAATTATCAAGCTACCCAACCCTTTAATAGTCTTGTAATAGAAGACACCAGTGAAAATAAAGACATGATTTAGCCCTTCATATTGACATGTGAGAAAACAATTTCTGTTGATGTGAGAGTGTATGGGGGGGTGTTTCCTTTTTTTTTTTTAAACAGATATTTAAAAGGTAAGTACTGCCTTCAGAGCCCTGCAAAGGGAGTTAGCCAAACAAATCTGGTGGGCTTTTATGGCTCATGTGCATGAGAATTATACATCTAAATTTCTTCCTTGTAGTCAAATATTTTCTTCCATGTGAAGTGACTGAAAGGAAAGAATCAGTCTTGCTAGCTACTGTGTGTGTCTGCCTCTAAGATTTAAACTAACACCGAAAGAATAGAAGCAGAAAAGATTCACAGAATATTTAGGAGGGAACAACTGTTGCAGTGCAGATGTTCATAGAGTTATTGTTATCAGGATGGTGCCTGGCTTGTCTGCAGCATCCTGTCTGTTGAATGAGGAAATTTCTGACCTAATGCTCTTTATTTAAAATTGCTTTTAAAAAGGGTCCCTGGTGTGTGTGGCCTCACTATAGGGAATGTGGAGTATGGCTGGTTAAGTATTTGCATGTGCCTTTGCTTTCAGTCCTTGTTCGCTCAAGGCCTAAGCAGGTGCTGGTTTTAAGTAGGATATCTGGTCAGAGAACCATTTGAGCCCCCGCCAGAGGAGGCCAAAGTCCGTATCTTTAGTTAAGATTCCATGTATAGCCATGCTTTTCTGAAACATATCCTTAAGAGCAGGATTATCTTTAAGCTTGTTAGCAGTCTTGCTTGGAAGAACTGCTTTGTGTTAGAGTTTTACATTACCCAGCCTTAAAAATACGCCCAGGTAGCATATGAGTTCTTTTCAGCTGCCTTGGAAAAGATCTAACCCTCACAGCAGATTCTTTCTTTCCAGGCTTGTTTGTCCTTCAGAAGGACATTTAGAGTCATCGAATTTAAAGTCATGGAGTTGATTTTCCCCTCTCACCAAAAAAAACGCCCTTTTTAAATTTAAAAGTAAATGTTAAAGATGGTAATTTTAATTTGAATCCATCATTACGAGAACAAAGAACCATATCCACTTTGGAAATCATATTCTGTGCTTCTGCCATAATTCCTACTGTATTCAGAACAATTGCTAACAATTTTTGTAACTAAAAGAAATTTAAGACTTTTTTTTCTCTGTTTCTGCCCTTCCCCATTTGACAACATTTCAATTGCAGAGAAGTAATTTCCACATTTTAGATCTGACACAAAACCAGGAAAGAATCCATTCTGCCTGCCACCCAGTTTTGACCATTTTTATGGGGAAAACCCACAATATCAGCAAGACAGAGATAAGTCTGGAAACTGAAATTGTTTCTTACTTTCATCTCTTGTTAGTTCATTCTCAAATGCAACCTCAAATAGACCGTCGCAGGAATGTGATAAACTTTTTGCTGCTCTATAATTTTACATGAAGAATCCTGTATGAGAGAGAGTGTAATTTTAATTTCAAAAGTAACTCAAGTTGGAGGTCACCGGTTTAATGAGAATCCTGTGCATCTAGGACATTGTTCTTGGTAGAAAATGTTGCCAAAAATAGGACTTCCTAGCAGCTGTGTGGTTTAGTCTTGTTTGTTTTTTAGATAATTAGTAGCTTTTTTGCTTAAACCATCAGAATTGGGTTTTAGAGCAAATGTGAGAAACCAAGAACTCACTCTAGTTTGTTTTATTGCTCTTGCACAGTTGCTGAACTTCAAAAACGAATACAGCAGTCTGAAAATCCTGCACCACCTCCTCCACCGCCACCCCCTCCTCCTCTTCCTCCTCCCCCTCCTCCTAACCCTATACGGTAAGTGCTTAAACCAAGGGTCGCAGCATTAATGCTTTGCTGAAGCAGAATACATTACATGAGCTTGCATCCAAGCAGGAAGTGTATCTTTAAAGAAAAAAAGGCTTTCTCCATCTGTCTTGGGCTCTTTACCAGCAGGACACGCTCTGTGCCCCACCTGCCAACAGACTAACACCCTGACAAATTCTGAACGGTGTCTGCCTTGCCAAGCCTAACGAATTGTCTGGACTGTGACTTTGGAGGAGGAGGGATACCTGTCTCCTCTAAATTTAGGAGATTATTTTTTTCTGTTCACCTTATAGCTGTAATTACAGACTTGTGAAATGCTTGTCTGAATCTACTGCTAAGAAAACCCCTTTGAACCAAAGGTTATGCTGGATTACTGTGTGTCCCTTCCTGTTGGATACTGGTGATGAAAATGCAGACTCCATTGAGTTCCCACAATTGCTTTCATAAGTTAAACAGAAAAAAAAACCCCACCCAGAAAATCCCCACCCCATCATCATGCAGTTTTGGGCAAAATTATCAAAATTAAGCCTGATTTTTGCAAAGGACTGTAAAAGAGCCTGACCAATATATGATGTATCAGGCATTAGACCCAAATTAATTAACTAAGCCCTAAAGTGTGCTTAGTTAATTTTAGGAATGCAGCTAATCTTCATGTTGTCTGCTTGGTTTTAAAAATAAATGGACTTCGATGACACTTTCTAACCTTCTGTAATAGAAATTACATGCAGGAGTCTTGTTAACCGCTGTGTTAAATGTATGAATAGAGATGATGAGTAGGGAGAATGCATCCCTTTGTGCATCTTGCTTTGTTTATAGAAACCTAAACTAAACACGTTCTGAACAATTGTGTTTGGTCTTGTGCTCCTTTTACATCCGTTAACTTATTTGGCTTGCTTGCTTCTTTCTCACTAATGTGTAGCATGAATTAACTGCGGGGGGTGTTGTGGGTTTTTTTTTGTTTTGTTTAGTTTAAGTTTGTGCCCTTTATTGTTATGGAATAGATAACACTATTCATTTTAAGCCCTGTAGTAGCTAAATCAGAGTATTTCCTTCAGGCACGGTGACGTTTATGTGCGTAGAGGTTGTTTCAGGGCCTGGGCACTGGATGCTGCTTTTTTCTGGGACAGAGTTTTGACCCTTTATGTCAGGGAGGTCGCTGCTCCATAAGGAGCAATGTTCAGTAGGGAGCGATAGGCCCCACTGACGCATCAGATGTGCATAGGAGCTTATACTTGGGCTTTAAGGTGTATCATTTCCTTGCCTGGATTTTTATGTTTTGACTATAGTGAAGGGATAATTATTTGACACTGTAAGAAGATTACAAACTTGGACTTGGTGAGGAGATACTGATCACCATATTTAAATGTCCTCTGGAAAATAATACTTCAATATCTACAGCTCTTCCTTCCTTCTGTTATGCCAGAGCAGCTTCAATTTGTCATGTGTCACAATGAGACACTGTCTTTTAATATTCAAATCTTGGAGTGTTTTGATTTGTGCCTAATGTCTGTTAAAAAGAAATAAATTTCTCTGGTGTATTTTGATGGGAGGCATTGTGGGGGGTAATTCAGTACATACATCTGCATTCAAGAACTGTTAAATGAGTCTTTTGTAAGTAGCTGTATAATCAGGTATAAGTAAGCTGTTTCTGTGTCATGTTCAAGTTCATTCTAACAGTGTGTAATACCGGACAGAATGACAATCTGCAGTTTCATTTTCCCCAAAGGTCTCTCATGTCAATGATTCGCAAGAGATCTCACTCCAACACCAGCGTGAGCAAGAAGGAGAAACCTCCTCAGCAGGAGTCAGGTATGGCTCATTCTTTCTCAAGTCATGCTATTTATTCACTAGGTACTGGAGGTAAAGCTACTGCAAATGAACTGTTGGTACACATAGTGATGCAAATACTTATAACTGTCAACGTTAACAACTGCTACGCATGTCCCAGCATATTCATGTACCTTGCAGTCCAGAAATGTGATTGCAGCCCAGTCATATGTGCTCCAAGATAGGAGTTGGTATCTTCGGCATTGTAGCTTTGGTACTGCAAGCTTCCTTGAGATCTCTAGAAAATTTGCGTAGCTCTCGTAGCCATCTATGCCCCCACAACTGAGCTGGTGATCAGGATCCAATTTATTTTTTCCACCTGGATTTTAGTATGAACAATCTTTGAGGCTGTGGATCAGAAACCTTAAGGGTAGACCTAGCACTTGCTGTAACTGAAAAAAAGTTCTTGTCTTCCTAATTCTGGCTCTCATGCTTATCAGATATGTCACTGAGCTGATTTCATTCACCAATGTGGCAGAAAAAAATTATCTTTTGGTTTTTTCCCCCTTGGGGAGAGGGTGGTCATGTCTATTGTAGGCTCATGGAAGGACCTGACAAGATAAGCTCTTAGCTGGGTATGGTGATGTGCCGGGTGAGATTGATGGGGAGAAGAGGATGGTTTAATTTAGGCCCCGTGCTGTTACACTGACTCGGTGCAGCTTGTCGAGTTGCACCCTGGCAGTTTGGAACTGCCTGTAGTAGTTGCGCTGTAGCAGTGTTGAGAGGCTCAGCGTATGCCTCTGCACTGGAGACGCTACAGCCGCAGTTACAGTTTGTCTAGGGCTTTGCACTTCCACAGGTTATCTGGAAGAGGCAGAAGAACAAACCCAACAGGCATTAAGCTGAGAACAGGTTATACACAGGATAATACAGGGAAGTTTCCAACTTCCAAATGGCTTCTTGTTTGTGATTTCTTCCGTCCAGAGCCTCTCTGCAGAGCTAGTTTGTTAAATGCTTCGGTTTTCATCCGTCAATTTATATCTTATGAAATTACCACTCAGAGTTGACTGTTAATGCTAATCCTTTAATAATACTGAAAACCTAAAACAAAACAGAGTCTTGCACTAAGGTGGCTCTGCGTGCAAAGTAACGGCTGAAATTGCATTTTATTGTTGTTAATGGAAGCTGGGAACTTAGTAGGTTGAGAACAGGAGTTAAGTACAGATTTACAAATGAACATGAGTGCCTGAAGAGTCAGAGCTAGTCAGACAAGTGTTGCCAGTTAAATAACCAAGGTTTTCCTCGCTGTTTCTCTCTTCCCTCTGAAACAGCAGGAGTTTGTTTGCAGTGAATTGCTTAACTCAGTTGCTGCCACTCTAAACAAAGAAGGGGGCTGCGAAGGGAACCCGGCTGAAATTATAGGTATAGGATATAACTGCTAAAGAAAAAATGGCTGTTAGCAGACTATAATGGTATGTAAGCATGGCTGGATTGTTGGATGGAGCCAACAGGCAGGAAGTGAGGGAAAGGAGGTATTACCTCTCCCATTTTTCAGGTGAGGAACTGAGGAATGGGGTAACTTGGGCAGGTCCCTGGGGGAATCTTTGGGAACTGGTTACCAGTCTGAGAGAAGTAAGGTTGTTGGTCTGGGTGCAATAATTAGAGAAGTGACCTTGTACTGACATCTCTGATGAAGAGTCAATCTTATTTTTCAGTAAAAGTTCAATTATGTTGCCTTCATTTATCAAGTTTCCTTACCTTGAGGCATCCTAGATGTTTTGATTACACCTTTTTGTTGAGACTGTTACAAACAGTGATTGCAGGAAATACTATGAAATTCACTATAAGTTCTCTACACCTCATTTTTTCATTATTTATTAGCAAACTTTAACAGTTCTGACCTTTCTTCAATCACATATAGACTGCTTCTTCTCTTAATAGTTGAGCTGTTCTTAAAATGAAAATAAAAAAGGGGGAAAGTTCTTTCTTGATCTAGTTGTTATATCCAACTTGAGGCTTGTTTTGACCCTTGTTAAGGACTTAGAATGAGTGGTTTCTATCCCATACCACCAATTAAGCTTTTATATTTGAAACAGCCTGTTTGTGAAATTAAAGCCTGACATTAAATCGGCTTACAATACAGAAACTGCATTTCTATGAATCATCAATAGTACCCTGACAAGTGAGAGAGCAAAAGTCTATTTAAAATTCCTGTTACATAAGGTACAACGTTGCAGCTTTGAAAAATGTCAACCGCATTTCTCCATGTATTTGCTTTAAGTAGTCTTTCTTTTTTTCCCTCTTTGGTGTGGCACGTTAAGTGTCTTTTGTTACATTATCCAGAACACTGATAAGTTCACAGGTGTTGTTTAGGTTCATCACACAGCCTCCCGTTTCATCTGAATATTTTGCAGTCCTGATACTGAATTTTTTGAAAATCAGCAGGTTCCTTTCTTGGTGTTTAAGTTTTGCCCTTCAACTTGGTACAGTATTCTTTAACGGTGTGGTTTTGGTTCAGTCTGAGATGTTGGTGTATCATTCCAGCAAGGTTCTTAAACCCATGTTTATATACAAGACACATTTGGTAGTCCTGTAATGGGCTGCATATAGGCCTCGCCGTGGGGCATTATCAACTTGTCCTGTGTCGATGAAGCTGTGGAAATTTCTGCTGAGGCACAGTGAAGAGATACAGTAGAAGTGAGGCTGTATTCTTCAGTCCTTGGTGCTTCAGCCTGTAGCACCGAGCTTTTGCAATTCCCAAACAGGAGCTTTGCATTTTTCAGGATCTGGGCCCTGCTTCTGTCCAAACTTCTGCAGGCACTGTGGTTTGACATTTGTGAAGTCCATGGCTGGATCCTCAATGTGTGCAGATTGGCGTTTTATCCTTGAAGAGCTTGTGACAGTTTAGCTGATAGCAAACATCGCTAATAGTGTTGAATCCAGAAACTAGAATTCCTGATAACTAGAGATGAGGTTGCTGATTTCTGCTACCATCTAGAAAGAGGGAACAACTTTTAGATGTACGCAGTGTAAGGTAAAGTGCCTCTTTGTGGTGGGGAAAATTAAGGGTAAGATAGTGGTCCTGTAAGAAAGACCCTGTGAACAGTCCACTTACGAGGAGAAAAATAAGCCTATGTATTTATGCTTATCATTCACATTTTTAATCAAACTGAGAAAAAGCATGGATTTGGATAGTACATGAGCAATACGCATGACACATACACGCAGGAAGAACTACTGCAGGGGGTATAACTAAGAACATTGTATATGCAAATGCCATTTCATCGTTAAAACTAATTTATGATTATGGTAACCGGCTATATATGGCAAGCAAGCTGTTTAGGAGGCTGTTTAACATATTTTTCTCTTTGGACTATTTCTCTGTAGTTCATATCTGGACAGTGATATGCTTTTTGATTTTTGGAACAGGTGAAGAAGTTACGGACCTGAAGAGACAAGCTGTTGAAGAAATGATGGACAGAATTAAAAAGGGAGTTCATCTGAGACCAGTCAACCAGTCAAGCAGACCTAAAACAAAGGTTTGGAATAAATAGCAGAGCCATAATATTAGCTAAGTACAGTAATTTACACTGAAAATAAATCAGGCTTTCTGTAAAACATTCAAAAGAATACATTTGCCTCACTCACCTCATTTGCTTTGCTTGATTTTGAATAAAATGAATTAGAGCAGCATATATCTGAGGAACAGAAAAAGAAGTGAAGCCAACAGTAAGTAAATAGAAGCCCAGTTTCTTTGACACAGAAAAGAATTGAAAGCAAGCATCTTGTAAACAAACAGCTACTAAGAAACTAAAAGCACAGAGGGAATAACTGAATTGAGTGAAGGGGGTGATCAAGAAGTAGACTGTATTTAGCAGTATTTCTTCCTTTTATGCAACACTTAGCACTAATACATGAATGTGGCTACTATGAAATATTGCGTACCGTCTTCACAAAAGCATAATCTTTCTTTATGTATAGGCTGTGATTCACTGTGTTACGAGCAAAGACTCTTCCCTTCATCTGTATAAGAAAGTAGATTGAACGTTAGCCATGTGCCCATGAGAGAGGAGAGCGGAGGAACATAATACAACTGCACGCCTGTGCAGTAGACCCTTGTGCGACGTCTATTGTCAAGTACAAAGTCTGTCACGGTCCATTTCACGTGTTTTTTAACATGCATGTGTTGTGTTTGTTTACAGCCAGAAACACCAAAGCCCTCTGAAAGTGCAATGAAAGAATTAAAAGGGATCCTGGTAAGAAAACTTGCAGTTTATGTTTCCTTTTTTTAATTCTCATTGAGCTGACGGGGCCTTCTGTGCAAAAGACCTGAGGATTTGAAAGTTCTACATTAGTGTTTTGGTTTGAAGCTGTAGAGCAGTTTTGGAGTGAATCCCCCGATTTCACTTTTGACTTTGGTCCCACTGAAACTTTGGTTTTGGGCTTGCTAACGAATTTATTTTGGAGAAAACTAGCCTGTTAACTCTGCTCTGGATTTGTATGTTCCTGCCACTAGAGGGGATGTTATGGTCTGCACCTGCCATAGACCCTTTGGAAACTTTCCAAGTACTCACACTGGGGATGCTTAGGGAGGGAGAGGCAGCTGAATAAATCTAGTCCAAAGTAAAGCCCCTGAACTGCACGTACAGTAGATGTAGGGTTCTCAGCATCAACTGCTCTGAACTCCTGCTCTCTGCTGAGGCACCAAATTTCTTGTTAGCATAGACATAGCCTAAATGGAGCAAGAGGTCTCTAGTCTGTCTACATTTATATGTAGAGAAAGTTGATTCTGAATAGGTGTGCACATACCTGTTTGTCACTGCATAAAAACATTAGGCTTGTGTTTGGTCCTGCTCAGAGCAATGCGCTATTTGCTGCTGGTCTGTCCTTTACTCGTATATTGTATTGCTTATTTAACCGGTTGTTTCTTTTGCACAAGTGCTAAAATTGTATCAATCAGTCAGAAGGAGCTGCAGTTCTTGCTCCCTGACTTCTGTGACCCTGAAGCTTTTAAACTTGAAGTGCAAATTTGGCACATCAGGTGAAATTTTGCCTTTGTAAGGTGAAATACGGTGAAATTCTGCCCATATCGAAATAAATGCTTCACATCCACTCCACAGAAGGTAAGGCTAATCATTCTAATCATCCATGATAGCGCCTAAACAGCCCTTATAAAAATAACTTCAGTATTGTGTTGGGTGATGCAAGATAGTACAGCAGAGTATAGCCACAGCCTGTGCTGTGATTTAAGATCACGAGTGTGGCACCAATGATGTGTTAAACTTGCTGTTCTCCAGTCACATGAGAACAGGGGAAGAAGGGAAGAAATGATCTAGAGAGCTCCCAGACCTTAATGCTGAGCTCTAATTAGAGGGACACATAATTAACTGTGGAGGTAAATAGAAAAGGAATAAAATGCAACACAGAGATTATGTTTTACACAGAACTCCGTAAGTATATAAATAGTTTGATGTAGTGTGCTGTTTGGACCAGTGAGGGTTGGACTCAATGATCCTGCCGAAGGTCCTTTCGTTTTCTAATAGCTGTTTTATTTCTTTGACACTGTATCACTGACATCAGGGGAGACTTGATTATGTACTTCAGAGGGAGCAGAAAGAAACCTACAGTCACTGTACTTCTGTATCTAGCTTGTTGGTTTTGAGCCCTTCAGGATATTTGTAGTGTAAGACAAACTGCATAAAATACAATTCCAGTCTATTCTTGAGACCAATCATTATGCACAGTCAGACAACAAACATGGGGGTGGGATGTGATGGAGTAAACATTTGTTGTTATTATGCTAATTATGCATTTCATGTAGACCTCCATATAATTGTTACAAACAAAACACATTTATGTTCTGTAAATTGCAGAGTTTGAGTGACTGCATTGCTCAAGTTGCTTTTGTATGTTTATGTTTGTACAGATCTGGAGCATACTACTCATTAATAATATACCTGCTCAGTTAAATTTCAGATAGTTGCCAAAGAAAATATTTTAACTTTTGGGGGTGTGTGTGAAGAATTAGAGTTACTTTGCTGGGATCCTGAAAGTAGCACAGCTTTTGCAACTTGTGATGCCATTTTCTTTTGGCATTTGCTATTTCTGATCAGAAGATACATGCTTATCAACAAAAGATGTTAAGAATATGTCATTTATGCTCTGGAAAAATGCTCCTGGGGGTTCCTAAAGATGGCAAGACTCAGAGGGAGAATGAAATAGTACATGGGTCCCAAATTTTAAGTTGCATCATAAACATTTTTGGGAAATTGTACAATCAAGTGGGTGGTGATCCAGTAACTGACTCTTCTCAGTTGGGAAATGCATGCAGTATGCACTATGTATATGTTAAAATTCCTGTGGAAAACTTTGGGAGGTTTCAGGCTTTGATTAAAGCCTTTCCGCCCCCCCCCCCCA